AGTCTATCTATAGTGAAATGAAAAGTTGAAATATATGATATAAGTAATACCATTCTTTCCTGTGCACCAACTGCAGCAATTACCAAAAGTTTCCAAATCATTTATCTTAACAGCTTCAACTATTAACTTTTTAACATAGGTTTCTTTAATTTTATGGTTTTACTGCTGTACTTTGTAACTATGGACCAGTAATTGTCCTCCATCAAAAACAATAAATCACAGTACAAGGGACATTAACTGTTTCCCATAGAGCAAAGGTAAACAACATGATCATGTTGCACATATCCTCGGTCATTATATTTTACTAAAATTTTGTTTGTATAATCTGAGATTTCTAATTCGTGCATTGCAGTTATTTTTGTTAAGAAATATAAAACAATAAATAGAATATGTGGGGGCCATACCAGGGGTAGTGTGAGTGATTCATTTGCACAGGATGCCAACTCGAAGAGGGGTGCTAATTGCCCAACTGACTAAAAAAGCAAACTAATTCACTGAATTTATATGTCACAAAGGGTACCATAAAACATGGGTACAGCACTGAAAATATATACATAAAAACAAGTATTTGTAGTACTTACTGTGTAACTGAACTTGTTTACACTCAAGTGAAAATTGAAGACATTCTTCCACAAGTCTCACAAATTTGGGTGTCGAAAAAAGAATTAATGTAGCTTTCAAATATGTATTTTAAACACAAAAATATATCAATCATTAGAGCAGAATGTTCCAAAAGTACTATAATTTATTTAGCTTTCTAAGTGAGCTATAAATAGATTAAAACATTTCATTCCAAGTTCCAAGCAGGAATATGTGTGCATGGAAAGAAACCATGACAGGCTGTTATTCTATGAGCATTAGAATCAAAAGCAGTAATGAGACTAATGTAGAGGAATATGTGCTTTTCTTCTTGGTTGTAGAAATGTCCATCAGCCATGTAAAGTTGATCAGCAAAACAATTTTGAAAATCAGAAAGATGGGAGAAGGACTTCTCTAACGGGTTTGACAAATTTAATGATGAATCAAGAAAAGGTTCAAATTTTAGATTTTTGCTTGTAGTTATGTATTGTTTGTGTTTCTAATTGTTTGAAAATTGTAGCAGCCTATTTTTAATATCATAAAATTTTAAAAGAAATTGGAGCTCAGATGCAGCATGTGACACAGAAATACTTTTTTAAATTAAGAAGTTAAAACTTAGATAATATAGAAATGTGAATTATAAACTAGAATTTGATAAAAAGTTCATTGACATACATTAATAATAAGGTTGTTTCATTAAATTTTGAATGTAACACTGCAAAAGGTCATCACATGTTCTTGCAACAGCTAGACAGAGATGTGAAGGGTTAATCTATACAAATTTATATAGTTTTACAGTTTTTAAATAACTATCTTAATAACTGATGATACATATTACTGTTAAATTCCAAAAAATTTTTATGTACAAAAAATATATCACTGGTGAAAGAAAATCTCTTATAACATATTTTTCTAAACCTACCTAAAATGGTATGTTCCTGGTTGCTGTCCAAAGCCACTACCAGGAACAACACAAATTCCTTTGCTCTCAAGAAGCTGCATAGCATAGAAAAAGTCAGGAGCTTGGCCTAAAGACTGAAAACACAAGTATAAAGATTTTCAAAAGTTACATTTTGACATTAACAGTTTGAGGTTGGACCTAGGGGAACAATTTTTATCTATCACAAATTAACTCTCTCGCTACAGGCTCAATTGATTAGACCTATATTTTATTTGTTATTTTCTCTACCCTAACTCTATACGAGGTTGGTCAATTTGACCAACCTTGTGGCCACAAATAAAAAAAAAATTATATTAATCTAAATCACCCTTTTTTCTTTCTAGAATGACTTCAAATTTTAACATCAAACTACATCTGTTTATCCTTTACAGCTTTGAACTTGTAACAGTATACATCTGTTTATACTCAAATTTTATTTTTTAATTTCTCTTTGAACTGTGTCTAACTAATATTTTCACCATGATAGTTGCAAATCACTTGGCAAATGTGTTGCTCACATTACACTATCAAATTACATAATGCACAGGCTACTCACAAAATTGCTCGCAAGTGTATCTCGTGAAAATTTATTATTATTCTTTATTTTACCTAATCTAACCTAAAAAGTTTCTAATTTTTACATTTGAATTACTTTTATAATAATAAATAAAGAATATGCATAAAAAACAAAAAATGTAGTACTTAAATGAGTCTTCTCTTTTCTTGCTTTTGACTGCTGATGAAACTTAACTCTACTTTTTTTATACTAATGATATTGCTGCACTAAATAATTTTTATTTAATTGAATAATGCACCAAGGAACACAGAATAATAACATGCAAAAAGCAGACAATGTCCTATAACTATCACAATTTTTTGGCTTTCTAACTATGCAATAAGAGCTATTAAAAATTCGGCTAATCTCGTAGATGTGTTTCCAGTGGGAATAAAATTTGAATTGGAAGCAAAATAGACAATTCTCTGTAAAGAAAATAATACAATATAATACATCATTTGATAAATTAAAACTCTGGCTTTCTACTGGTTATAAATAATATTGTATTAACCCTCTCACTCCAGGTATCCTTCACTACACATGACACAAGGTTTTAGTGTCTTACATTCAAAATGTTATTGAACTACTTTTTGTTTATGTTATACCAATTAGTATAGCATAAAATCTTAGCTAATAACCCATATTTTAATAGTATATAAGTTTCAAGTTCTTAATTCTACAAGGCAATATTTAAAAAGATCTGAATTTCCCGTAGTGTGACACACGACACATTTTCTCTAGGCATCTTGTCTCCTCTATTTTATCCACCACCCCTTAGAAAAGTAAGAAATTAAACATAATTTACTCACTATAAAATCGTCATTGTTACAACAAACCATATTTTTTATAGGCTTAAATGTTGTTTGGTTACAGAGCTATTAAATAGAAAATGAAACCCCTCCTGCCACACCCACCTGTCACATCCTCTCTTTCAGGATTTGTTAATAGTTCTCTCTTACGTTCCATTATATATTACCTATAACCAATAAAAGGTCAAGGTTTACATCTATCAAATAATGTATTCTATAACATTGTGTTCTGAACGATTAAATGTCAATTTCACTCAGAGTTCACTTGTAACAACTCTTGTCACATAGTTAGAAAACCAGAAAAATTTTGAGAGGTGAGGAAATTTGTCTAATTTGGCATGTTATTAGTCTATATTGTTTGGTACATTACTTAATTAAATAAAAATTATTAAATGCATTACTATCATTAGTATATAATAATTAGGGATAACTCTCTTTGACAATTGACAGCAAGAAAAAAGAAGATTGGTTAAGTATTTTATTTCTTGTTTTTCATGTTTATTCTTTATGTATAATTATAAAAGTAACTAAAATGTGAAAATAGGGATCCTTTTAGGTTAGTTAAGATTAGATTAGGTAAACTGAATAATAATAATAATAGATAATAAAAATGTTTCATGAGGGACACACATGAGCAGCTCACAGTATCTCATGGAAAATGTAATTTGTTAGCGTAATGTGAGCTGCACATTCTCCGAGTGATTTACAACATATAATGGCACAAATAGTAGTTAGACATGGTTCAAAGGGCAATCAAAGGGCCAATAAAACAATAAAATTTAATTACAAATAGATGTATACTGTTATGAGTTTCAGGTTACTTAGGATAAATGAATATAGTTTCACACTACATTTGAATTTATTCTAGACAGAAAAGGAGTGTAATTTAGATTTACTTTTTACTGGTAGGGTGGGGGTTCTGAGGTCAGTCAAATTGATTAACCTTGTATAGAGTTAGGGTAGAGAAAATAACAGATAAAAAATAAAACTGAAAACAAACATTTGAAATGTATTTAGGAGGTTTTAAAGATTATACAAATAATATTTGAGATTTTTAGTTATAACATGAAAATCACTTCGCACCTGGACTGGTAATAAAACAGCCTCAATATTTTTGCAAACAAATCTATAATAAAAATACTTCATTAAAAAATCTGAAAGACTTGTAATCTTTACAAAAAGTCTACCAAATTGGAATTTTTGAGATGTAGAAAATTATTTATAATCTTAAGGTGAAAATTACTTTGCACATGGAGTATTCAAAACAATTACTCAATATATTCAAGGACAAATCTTTATTTTAGTTTATTAAAAATACTTTACTAAAAAATATGATTTCTTGTACGTGAAAGACTTATCATGTTAACTGAAAGACTGTCAAATTTTGTGAAGATATACACACTATATTGAAAGTTAGAAGTATTAAATTTATAAAGACTTTAAACAAGTACAAAAAGGTTACGTGGTTGGTCAAATTGACCAAGCCCGTGCGGAGAGAGTTAAACATCAGAGAGAAATAGTAGCAATTTCTGAAAGAAAGGATGTGATAAGTGGGCATTGCAAGAAGTGTCTGACTTTCTATTTAATGGCTCTGTAACCAAATAAAATTGAAGGCTATAAAATTATGCTTTCCCTCAGTGACGAAAACATTATAATGAGTAATTTATATTAAAGTTTGTTCTTCTTGGATGGGTGATAAATAAATTAGAGAAGAGGGGATACCTAGAGAGCAAATGTCACAATTCTCATACTAGGAGAAATTCAGGATTTCTTTTAAATATTGCCTTATAAAATTAAGAATATAACACATACATAATATTAAAACTTGGATTATTAGGTACGTTTTTATGCAAAGTATATTCGTATACTTAGAAAAGTAGATAAGAAAGTAGTTCAGTTGAATTTTGATTGTAACTCAATAAAACCTTATGACTTACAGAAAAGGATGCCCAAAGGGTGAGGTTAAAAGAAACAAAGTGTGAATCCTTGCCAGATAATTGAAGAAAATAATTTAAAACAATGGAAAAAAGTTCTAATAACTGACAGAAAACACAATTCTATCTTACAGTTCAATTCTCCTCATTAAAATTATTGGTTTTACAAATAAGTAAATATTATGAATTTATTCCTGGTAAAAGGTCTTTCCTGCAGAACAATCAGGTCTTCTAATTGGAGATTTAAAGAATCCTGGATTACAGAGAGAAATGTTCTCCCTATCTACAACTGGGTCACCGAGAAGAACAACTCAGACATAAAATTGTTTAGATAAAAACAAATCACTTACAACACAATTACAAAAACAAGGCAAGTGTTCTGTGGTGTGAAGGATTGATAAAAGCAAATGAAGACTATTGAAAGAGCTCTTACCAGTTCAATGTGTTCTGCCTTGTAAGTTAAGTTAAATCCTGAATTAAAAATAAAAGTGAAACTCCAAGTTAAAATCAGAAATACAACTAATAAAGTTGCATTTAAACCAAAAGTTTCAATGTTATCTCAACGTTAAACTAAATCAAAATGCTTAAACCTTTCTATAGTTCAAACACAGCATTAACTTCACAAAGTAAAAGTACAAAAATCTACTCACTCTATATCCTTCAAGAAATTTAGGCAAAAGGTATAACTTACTATATTACAAAATCTATTACACTTGAAAAACCCTCTAAAAATTTGTAAAATCCTAAAACATCCTGTCTTACAGGGGCAAGAAAAGACTTTTTTACAAAATACACAAACAAAGCCAGACTTGTATAAGAAATGTGCCTCATATTCAAGATCTATGTCTATTGAGAGTTGAGCTCTAGGGCATTGCTGCCCAATTCTTATTCGATTCACTAAAAAGAAAGATAATTTTCTACTTCTGGACATCACAAGAATGTTGGGTAATTGCCAATTACTGAACCCACATCTTAGTGGTACTTGAATAAAACTCATCATTTAAATTATAAATTCTTAAAAATAATAATATTTTTTTCAAAATATACATCTTAACTAAGAGGATAGCAGGCATATATTACCATTCTACATTACACAAGCCACTAATCATTAAAACAATGATCAACAGGCTTGTCCAGGATGAGACAAAGAAAGATTTCTGCTAAAACATTCTGACTTGTTTAAATAAAAAATGTAAATTATTCACAACCACTTTGTAAATGAATACTTAATAAAAATAGTTTGAGCTCACATGTGACTGTTGAAAAAAACTCTTACCTTAGCTTTCTCAACAGCTTTTTCTGGCAGAAACAGTCTCGGAAAAGCATACATCGCTCCAGCTACTTTATTACACTGTATCCCCTCAATACTGTTGAAAGTGTTTGCAACAAGAATAGCTCTTTCTTTTAACGAATCTAGCACCTCATTCTTTTCCTGAGAAACAACCACAAATTTATCATGCAAATTTTATATTTAAGCAAACATAAAAACCAATTTTCACTAAGTTATTTAAAGTAATTCCACTAAGGATTTGTTTGTAATCAAAGGCAGAAGCAGAGGTACACTCCTCTGATCACTTTAAATTAGTTACATTTAGAGAAAACTTTTATCATTTGTTTAACACTGAAATGGGGTGGCTAATATAATTTTATAGATAAGAAAATGTGTTTTTATTAACTGGAGTAAATCATGTTGCCAATTTTTCACCACCATGTCTGCATTTTTTAGAAAACAGGCCTACTTGAAAGTAAATAAAACCTACCTTTATATACTTTTCATAGGACGGCTCTCCTGACTGTGGAGGATTAACAACGCAATCCATTGCTGCCTGTTAAAAAACGATAATTTAGTAAGAATATAAATCAAAGGTAGCAGTAGTTCCCACATCTTTCTAAACAAGCCATGTGTAAGACACTGAACCATATTTTGAAACTTTAAAAACTGAACAATGACATTATAAACACAATAAAATAAGAATGTATAAATTGGTCAATCTTAATAATAAATGTATTAGATAGCTTTTATATCACAGAAATAAATCATAATAATTTTAACAGTGAGAAATTTCAAAATGAAACCTCTGAATGCAAGTTACATACAGCAATATATGTACTGGTAAAAACAGTAATTCCTCAAAGTCATAAGATTTAAATATCTTAAAACAAATACTATTTGTACTAGAGAAGACCAAAACTTCCCTTCATTCATCAGTAAAGCACAAGTTCTTAATGTTATTTCAAAATGCTGTGTTGGTTGATGTATTTATCAAAAATCAGTTAGCAGTAGCTACTTTCTAAACTGTGGCTACCAAAGCTCATGCACTACGTATTCTTGACGATTTAGCAATCCACAAAACTTGCCTATTTTCTACATTTTGATTTAAATGAATGCAAATGAAGGTATTTCAAGTTTCATGCAGATCACCTGCATTGAAAAGGCAATGTCTGGTTGTGACTATTACAATTATGGTCTTTCACCAAAACTAATCTACGATATCATCAAGAAAAGGATATAATGCTGGCAATAAGTTAAATAACTCTTTCAGTGAAGATAGTGTGAGAAAAAGAAACTGTATTTCATCAAAGTTATACACACACACACACACACACACAAATGTAAAGTAACTTTAAAGTTTTTGTGTGTTTTTGCATTACTTTTACACTGAATCAAACTGAGCTTGCTGTCTCGGTATGTAACTGCTAAAACAATTTTCCTAATGTACAAATAATTTATTGTCATCTACAACATAACTATGAACAAAGTTTAGGTTTCTGAAGTTGACTTTAAATTCTCTAGGCCTAATTCAAAACAGACAAAAAACATTAATCCAGAATCACTATACTTATAAATACAATTAATCCTTTCACAGCAGGCTCGTGCAATTTGTGGAAATCAAGTCACGAATTTCACTTGTACAACAATATATACACCAACTCTTAAAATTTCTCAAAAACTGGTAAGATTTTGTTAAAGATCCTAAATATCTTGTACACAAATAATGATGGTTTTATTATTAAGTGTTTTTACTAAAATTATGTTATTTTTCTGTTGTAATTACTTGCATTCGAACTAGTAACAAATCGAATGCAAAGTGATTTTCATTTTAAGTATCAAAATACTTTTCTTTGTTTTATAGTTTTCATATTTCATTTGCATAATCACTAGAACCTCTTAAAACAATATCAAAAGTTTTTCAAGGTAAATGTTTAAATTATATTTTTCATTTTCTTTACAATATCACTAACTCTAGTTATTATCATCAATGTACAATGCAATGAAATGATTAAAATTAGGGAAATAAAAAAATACATACTTTTTGATTTTTTGTAGAATATCTTTAAAGAAGTTGTTTGCTTTCATTTGTAATTTTGGGTCTTTTCCTTTTCATATGTAGTTAATTTTTAATGATTTATTTTCCTTTCCTGTCCTTTACCACTTATTATTCATCTCGACACAAGGCATATTACAGTTTCTTTGGGAGACATGCGAAACCCTTCGGCAAAATTTTCATTTAGCGCTCAATATCATAAGCCTTGAGAACAGATGTAAAGTATGATGTATGTTTAAAAAATGTTTAATCCTGTCAATTATGTATTTAAAAAAATAACTAATACATAATTAACGAAAATATATTTGTAAGACCTAAATACAATTTAAACTGTATCTTTAACTGTAACATATTTAGGTAAGAAATAACCATAAGTACTATAGTCAATCAAACAGCTAACCACACTATTGTCAATTTGATGTACTCCATGATGACAACTTAGTGCCAATTTCAAAATAACCATTGTTAGATTATGCTGTAAAACAAGCTCTTTCTAATGGTTAAACACATGTGTATGTAATATCTACCTAGAGATTATAAAGCTCAAACAAATCTGTTGAAGGTGGGCATGGCAGCTGTCAAGGATTGAAAACATTTATTACTTGTTCCAACTGTATTCTTTCAGAGAACTTTGAAATGAAAGACTCAAAATGTTATCTAAGCAACTCAATATATAGATGTACCTCTACAGTACTGCCATTATATTATTGAAGATACAGTGTCAAAGTAGAGAATTTTCATAGCTTGTTGGTTACGTGACAATACATCTGAAGTTTTAAGTAGCTTTGAAGGTTTATTTTGAAATAAAGGACTTAAAACTTGGATAAAATAAAACTTCGAATCAGAACACAAATTATAATATTAAATTCACTCACATACATTGATATTAAAGGTGTTTAATTAAATTTTGAATATAACACAGTGACTTGCACAGAAAAGCATTTAAAGGGACTCCCATTGCGAAAGAGTTAAGGTAAAATACCAGTATACAACATTATGTCAAGGATTAATTAATATTACTATTACCAAAAATTCTCCATTCTAAACCTAATCTAAGATGTATGGGGCAACCTCAATTCTTACCTGTCCAAGGACACTTGAACACAATTTGGCTGAGATGGACTTTAAGAGCATTTTCATTACGTCAGCATCAATATTAAGAAGTTCACAATAGCCACCTCTAAGACCACACCTACAAGTTATACAACAATCATTTTTTACAGAGCTACAAATGCTTAAGTTAAACTATATACTTGTACCACAACTTCTGGTTTCACACATGTTTAAGTTTATTCTCCATTTATTTGGTCGCGAAGAAATTAATGTTGCTTTTTTTTAGATGAAAAAACTCGAACAACTTGTATATCAAAACAAAAATTTATCAAATGAAATAGTGTCCATTCTTATTGATAATGCTTTTCATCTTACAATCAGGTTGTTAATGCCCTGATTAAAAAAATCACTCTGCTTTGAAGAAAAAACATATTGATATCCTCTTTAACACCTTCCACATTTGCATACATTTTCCCATTAAGATGGTGTTGTAGCGAACGAAAAAGATGGTAATCTGATGGTGCCATATATAGAGAATATGGTGGGTGGGAGAGAACTTCCCAACCCAACTCCATAATCTTGTGTAGCATCAAACATGCCACATGTGGCATAGATTGTCATGGAGAAGAAGAACACCTTTCCAATTGACGAGTGAAGGGCCTTTCTGATGAAGGGCTTGATTTAAACATTCCAGTTGCTGAGTATAGATCTCTGCATTGACAGTTCACTGTGGATTGAGGAGTTCGAAATGAATTACTCCTTTGATTGATGTCCCACCAAATGCAAAGCATCACTTTCTGTGGATGGAGTCCAGGTTTTGGG